AGTGTTGCAATTAAGCTGCCAAAAGCAAAAGAAAGAGAGAGAGAGAGAGAGAGAACACATGCACATACTGTATTTGACTAAAAAACGGTTGACTAAAAAGAGCACATTTTGTACAAGAAACTCAAGGAAGCAATTAGCATATCTGACATACAATAGTTAGGTAAAGAGCGGTAAGCTATTATTCACTGGAAATAGCTGCACTAGAGCTTACTCACTTTGCATAGTTTGAAGTCTTGGCCCTTTGTGTCTGAAATGAATAAAAATATAAACACATCTCAATTAATTGATGATGTAATGAACGCTGCTTTAGAGAAAGTGAAGATTTGCACGTTTGCGTAACCTCCCTCTTAATTCTCATGCACCTCAATTTTGCATGGATAAGAACCTGAAGACTAAATTTCAGTTGACAGCTTTGGGTTCTCGAAGCAGCCACCTTTACTGGCAGGTTAACTGGTTCTCTTGCTTTCATATTAGCATCTTTGTGGACTCAGAGCTCAACAAATATTGCAAAAATGAAAATTTCAGTACAGATGTGTCTCAGTCCATTTTCTGTTGCTTATAAAAGAATACTTGAAACTGGGTAATTTATAAACAAAAGGAATTTGTTTTTACAGTTACGGAAGCTGAGAAGTGCAAGGTCAAGGAGCGACATTTGATGAGAGTCTTTTGGGGGTGGGGACTCTGAAGAGTTGGGAGGCAGAGCAGGGGATCATACAGTGAGAGAACTGAGTGTGCTAACTCAGGTATCTCTTCCTCTTCTTATAAAGCCACCAGTCCCACTCCCACAATAACCTATAAACCCAATAACTCATTAACCTATTAATCCATTAATCAATGAAGAGTCCTCATGACCCATTCAGCCCTTAAAGGCGTCACCTTTCAATACTGTCACATGAAGGATTAAGTTTCAATTTGAGTTTTGAAGGGAGCAAATATTCCAGCCATAGCATTTGTTATCTGAAAAGAATGCTTGGTCTATGTAGCTCATCTCCTGCAAATGTCCTTTACTATAAGCTCTAGATATGTAATATATATATTTAAATATGAATATATTAAGTATGTATTGTATTTAATATATAAAATATAATATGTAAATGTAATAAATAAATATATAATATAGATATTTAAGTATGTATGATACATATATATTTTTATATAAAATATAAATGAATATATATTTAATATATAAAAATAAGTAAATGATATAAATGTAAATATAATAATATAAATTATATAAATATAAATAAATATATAAGTATTTTATATACTATAGATATTTAAATATAAATATTAAATTTTATGGTCATTTTTATCTACTTTTTAATGTCAGTGGGAGAGCTAAAATCATAAAGGAAAATTCAATGATCTAAGGAATGACAATATAGACAAGAGCATTTATTTTCATATAGTCCTACCTTTTTAGAAAATATATGGATAATCTCAACAATAGGTTGTAGCATCAATAAATTCTTACCTTAGAGAGGCAGAAGAGTTGTAGGGGCTTGAGTTTCCTTAATTTGACTCATTTAGTTCAATTTAACTGAGGTAGATATATTACCATGTACTACTCAGGAATAAATCCTAAAGTCTCTCTCCCAAATCAGGTGTTAATAGACCTTATTAATTAAGATTCATGCCACCATCTTTCAGAACATAGCAGAATGCTTTAGCCTGGTTTTATCTTTCTTATCACCCCAGTCTTAGCTCTATCATAACTCTAATGATATAAAAATGTTATCTATAAATTTGAAGGTAACAATCTTTAGCTCTCTTCACAGAGTTAAATTTTTGAGTACGTAATAAATAAGAACATGAAAAGATGTTCAATATTATCAGCCATCAGAGAAATGCAAATTAAGACCACAATGAGTTGCCACTGCACTCCTACCAAAATGTCTAAAAGTTAAAAAATAATAAAACTGACAATAGTGAGCACTTCTCATATTGCTGGTGAAAATGCAAAAAAAGTACATCCAATTTAAAAACTGTTTGGTGACTTCTTTTTAAAAAAAATTACTTCCCTTAGAGCTCTGCAATCCCACGCCTGGTATTTATTGTTTCCCCTGAAATAAAACCTTACATTCATGCAAAAACCTGTTTGTAAGAATTTATGTCAACACTATTCATAATTGTCAAAAACTAGAAACAAATAAAATGTCCTTTTATGGGTGAATGATTAAAAAACTGTGGTAAATTCATATAATAACATACTCCTTAGCAGTAAAAAGAATGTACCACTGATACACACAATATGGAGATTTTGATACGGAGGGAGAGAAGGCGAGAGAGAGAGATTTTGTAACCAGGACCTAAGATATAAGTACAGAGACATTTACAAATAATGTCAAAGTAGGGCTATTGAAATTTTATTTGCACATGGAACCTAGGACATTGGTAATGTAAGAGATGTGACTAAAACAGAACCTACAACTAGAAGTCAAGACATCAGTTGAATTATTTATAAGCCAGGGTTAATGAGAAAAACAGCCTCTCAAAACATTGGAGAAAAAAACAATCATAGGTCTTCATAAACTCATATGAAACACATCATCCCTTGAACCAGAAAGGTAGAATTTGGGGCTACATTTCCCTGCTTTTTTTCTGGCTAAGTCATAAAAACTATTTCTTTGTCATTTGTGCATTTGTTTATTCACTTGCTCATTGATTTATTCTCTCATACATTTATTCATTTATTACATTTTGCAGCATAAAGAATTTGAAGTGGTTATTAAGAACATAAAAAAAGAAGTACATAAAACTAAAACAAAATTAAAATTGAATAATAAAGATAAGAGAGCAGGGGTGAGGGGAAATAAGAATAATTATTATAAGGTGGGAAGCAGTGGCTCATGCCTGTAATCCCAACACTTTGGGAGGCTGAGGCAGGTGGATTATCTGAGGTCAGGAGTTCAATATCAGCCCAGCCACCGTGGTGAAACCCAATCTCTACTAAAATTACAAAAATCAGCCTAGTTGTGGTGGTACGCACCTGTAATCTCAGCTACTCAGGAGGCTGAAGCAGGAGAATCGCTTGAACCTGGGAGGCAGAGGGTGCAGTGAGCTGAGATTGCACCACTGCACTCCAGCCTGGGTGACAGAGTGAGACTCCATATAGAAAAGAAAAAAAGAAATAATTCTTACAATAGAATTATGTCTTTCACCTTTCCAGTTGCCAAAGCAAAAAACAAAAACAGCAGAGTTAGTTATATGATTTGCATTGTCTGTGTAAAAGGAAAATACTAGTATTTCAGAAGTAAAATGTTTTCTTGCCTTAAGAAATGAAAGTAAACTCTTTTTGGGAATATTCACTTCAGAGGCACACTTAAGGACAACCCAACAGTAAACAGAATCATCTTTTCGGCACAGCAAGCTCTAAAAACATCCCTCAACCAGAGCTAAGAATGTTACAACAATGTATAAAAATGAGAAAGGAAATCTATGGGTGAACAAGAATATGTGATTTCAGGTCACAGTTTTCTGATATTCTAGGTGTATCACGTAAAAAACATTGTGTAAATTGTTAGAAACCAGGTCAAGACAGAGTGACCAACTAAAGAATATATAGCAAACTGTAAGTAGGAAATGCATTATGATGCTGGACTTTACCATATTCCCTGGACAAGTCAGACATTTTCAGTACTCTGAGCCTGATTATGCTAGTTCATCTGTCTGGAAAGGTCCAACTTTCCCAATTAACTTATCAAACTCCCAATTGTTCTTTTGTAAAGCGTGATGGCTTAGAGTGCTAAATTTCCCAACAAATAAACCTTGTTGGAGCTCTTGCCGTGTAATTTAGTAGCTTGTGACTCTGAACTTGCCAACCTCTATCATTGCATAAGTCAGTTTTGAAAAATAAATATCTGTCTATATACAAACTTATCTATGGGACACCTTATCTGTGTGACAGGTCTTAGCATTCTATGGGAATATGTTTTCATATGTATGTATTAACATCTTATTTGTTCTATTTCTCTGGAGAACTCTGACTAATACAGATATACTAACAACACCTTCCACAATGTCCCAAGAAATACTTTACATAATGCTTGGCATATGGTAAGGTTCAATAAATTCTAGCTTTTAATAGTATTTAAGAAAGTTTTTTGGCTAATTTATATAAAATATTTGGAAGATAAAATACATCTTGTAGAAAAGTGGGAATAAAATCAGTCTTATTTTAAAAGACTGCCTTTGATAAAACTTTGTTTCCTTTTGAAGTTTTTGCAGTTTTCTGAATCACATGCCACTCTAGTTTTGGCAGCATGTGACTGACTGCATTGACATATGTACAATGCCTTATTTTAGCAATGGGTCAGCAAAATAATTAAAAGATGTAAGCTTTCTTACTTCATAAGAGATGATCTTAAATTCTGAAGGTCTTGAGATTAAAGTAGCTAAACAGGCTGACTTTTCTTTTTTCCTCTTTTTGGAAAAGTAAGTATTTCATACTTTTTCATGTTTAGTTTCAGAGTCATCATTGATGATTGATGATATGAATGTGTGTGAACTGAACTAGTGACCATGTATTCTGACTATATTCTGACTACACTTAATGAATTTGACCAAAGGGGAACAATGGTAACTTCTTTAGGCACAATCTTTCCCCCAATATTTTCAGCTTCTCTTCTGAATTTAGCTTTCTGAAACTCCTTATACCACCTCCAACTTCCTGAATCTGATCCTGTATGCTCTCGAAATCAAAGCAAGTGGTTGGTCTCTGTCCTATTGAAAAGGAAACTGGACACCTGAATGCTCCATGACACTGTGGGAATAAAACCACTTTTTTGTATGTTTCACTTGTTACCTGGACCAATGTCATTTTCTCAGGCTTGTGGTTAATCTAGAAGTGTGTTTGGAGGTTGGGTGGTAAAAAGGAGACTTTCCCTGTACCACCAACCCATTTTTAGACCACCCTTATTCTTCTGTCTAGGAATTGAACCATTTTTCTTTTTTCCATGCTTTTTAGCTCCTGTAATTTTGACTTGATTAAATCCTTGGTCTTTTTTTTTTTCCCACCTCACTGTCCCAGAAATTTTATTCCAGAAATCCTAAAGACATTTATTTCAAAGAAATCTCTACTATTAAAATAAAATGCCTTAGCACATTAAGATATTATTACTCCCAGATAATACACTCTAGCTCACATTGATCTCTCCTTTGTCCAGCCTCAGGATTGATTAATTTTCTTGAAAGTCAGGTTTTGTCCATGGGGAAAATGATTTCTAGATTTCTAAATTTCCTTAAGCCTTTTTTACATGTCAAAGCAAATTTAGAGATATGGAAACAGATTTTTTTTTTTAAGTAAAATGAAATGACCGTGTCATTTAACATCTGAACTAGAACACTTTTGAGAGCAAAATGGCACACTAAATGTAATTAACAAATGTTAATAATTCTGTATCCAATGAAACCAGGAATTATAGTGAATTAGATACATTGTAAGAAGAATTCTTGTCAAACATTGCAGAAACTGTAAAGCCAGACTGATCCAACCCAATGAAAGTAGGAAGAAAAGAAAGAGGCAGAAGTCAGAGAGCTGTTGGACTCCAATGTCCTCCCAACCCTCACACACTACTGACTCTTCCCCTTCCACCCAATACACACACTTGGTGGCTCTTTGTGGAGTGGTGCTGTACAAACAGCCACATGAATTTAAGAGACCCAATAGATTTGGTGCTAGTAGCTTTCTTCCTGATGCAGAATCTGGAAAACTTATAGGCTTCTAAGAAAATCCTGGCATTTCCATCATTGGTGATTAGAGGTGGCTGGCTAAAGATGTCATAATACTGGTGCTTGCAGGTTACTGGGAGGCGGGTCCACAAGTTCCTTCAGGCTCTGATCAGTGGCCAGTGAAATGCCAAGATCAATGTACCCAGGAGGAATCAAGGTAGGGAAAAAAACCAGCATATTATACAGGAGCTTCGTGATTAGAGATAAAGGGCCAGGGCCGCAGACTTTAGTGTCAGGTACATGGAAATTCTCTGAATGCTGGGATGAGCAGTCCCATGTAAGTAAACATCAGTAGTGAACCTAACCTATCCCAGAACGTGGAAAATATTAGAAAGAAAGCATTTCTCTGACATCTCTTCTTCCATTCCTTCTTCCATCAACAACAGATTTCTTAAGCTCTTATATACATCCAGATGCCATTCTGGGGATCAGGAGAAGAAGAATATTAAAGAAAAAGTCTGAAAACTAGCATTTAACCAAACGAGATTGAGTTCCCTATAAAACTTTAAAAACTGAATCTATGCCCTATCACCTTCCACTTTCCCACCTGCCTTCCAAAGCGTTAGTGCTCATGAGAAAGATAAAGTCAGTTATGGAAAGTAAAATGAAACAAACAAACAAGCAAATAAAATGAAGATAATTCTTCTCCCAGAGATTTGGGTGACAATATATTTGTGAGTGTGCAACACAAGTAACACCAGCTATAGGCAAGTTGCTTGGACTCTCCAAACCTTAGTTTTTTTTGTAAAAAAATCTGGGGTCATATTAAATAAAGATATTTTCAAAAAATAAATGCCATAATTTTTCTTAGGACATTGCACAATTTCTAAAATCAACTTAGAAGTCAAAGATTCTTACCTTGTTTTTTCATATGATACAAGGGGAGCACAGAGAGATACATACCCTCACTGACATTGAAACATAAAACATCTTCGTTTACTGAGTTATTTATCAACTATTTAAGTAGCACCTAGCTGCCAGGTCCTGTCCTAGTAGAAAGGGATGTAACAGTGTACAAAACAAAAAACAAATAAATGCATATAAAAAAAGCATAGGAAGAGAATAAAGCAAGGAAGAGGAAAATAAATCAATGGTGACCTTTGTGTGTGTGTGCATGAATAACTGTGTGCAGATGTGTGCCTGTACGCCCATGAGTGCAAGAGAATGTGTAAATCCTGAAATGGTAATATTCAAACTATTTATCAAGGAAAGCAGCACAGATGGTGAATAATCAGAATGAATACCTGACCTGTAAGAAGAGGCTCTGAAGGGGAGGCTACATTTGTCTCTGATGGCAGCATACTGATGGGTGTGATATAATTCACATAAAGATGATCTGGAAAGAGTCTGAAAGGGAAATCATAAGACTTTCCTCATTGGAAGAAATGGATGAAACATTTAGGCTAGTGCCACATTTTAAACAACTATCTGTACCTTTGATAAAAAGGCATAAAGAGCTTTGATTTGTTTTAAAATTAAAGGTTAATTTTGAAGTGATACTTTCACATTGAGGTTCATGGTCTCTGTGACTCAAAATATCATTTTACACTAGCATGAAACTAACTCAGATATTTAACAACATTAAGAAAAAAAAAAGCATCATTGTTTCCTTCAGCCCTGCAAGAATTTTTCTTAAAGACTTTGTGTGGCAGGGACAATGCTGTGTGTTTACCAAATTCCATTTCACTTTCTTCCTTCTGGGCACATGAGAGTTTTCCAAGCTCCCTTAAATTTACATTATGGCCATGTGACTATGTCCTGGCCACTTGCCAAGCTAAATCACACCTAGGCCTGTCCATTAAAAACAACTCATGCAACAATTCTTTTCCTCTCTCTTCTTCTGAGGTGGGGACTATGGAAACCATATGCTACCGAGGTAGCTATGAGATGAGAGAGGGGTGCCAAATTTGTGCTGGACTTGATGTGAGCAAGAAATAAATCCTTACTGGATTAAATCACTAAAATTTCAGATTTATTGTTTTTCTTTTTACCAAAGTATAGCCTAGCATACCATGACTAATTCAACTTTCAACAAACACTGTATGGTAATTCTGTATAGAAGTCTATACAAAAAGGATGTATTAAGAATTTAAAAAATTTTGTACAAATGCATTTCACAACATGTCAATATTTTCTATAATACTCTTATGCCATCCCAAAATTTGATATTTTGTCAGATAAATGATAATGAATTAATGTCAGGAAGAACACAAATTGCTTATGAAACACTAAAATGCACATTGGAGTAGTTTAAATAAAGTGAATAAGGCAACATTAGCTGTGATTATATTTAATTATATGGTAACAATTTGGGGTTAACAAATTTGAGAACATAAATCTTTGGCAGTTGGGGCAGTTTTTAAAAAAAATATTTAACTAGCAGATGAAATGAATAATATTGCTAGATCTCAAAGTACTAATAGACTGAGAGGAATCTGAGGAATACTTCTAAACCTAATACAACTAAATTAATATAACTTTGATAGAAGTCATGATAACTAATTGATGGCATTGGTAATTTTCTTTTTTGTAGAAGTCATTTGCAGAGCTGGTAAACTAAAAAAAAATAAAATAAAAACCCTGAAGTATAAGCAATCAGGCACTTTAGTACACAGGTCACTCTGACATTACATGAAAAACAAGAAGCTACAAATCTTCTTGTAGCTACCAGAAGCTACTGCAATTAAAGATCATTGCCATCATCACAGTCAACTTTAGATACATTTAATATACATTAAGATCTTTGGGTAATTTGCAAAGTTGAAGGATTACAGATAAATTTTTCTAAAGAAAATTGAATGCTAGCCTGTCAAATTCATTCCTGTCAATTTGTAGGAATTGTACACTACATATGGTGCATGACATCAATTTTCAATGGACCAGATCAACTTTGAGTTGCATCACGATTATGCTATTGCCATTTACAGGCAACCAGCTTTGATTTCTGGCAGCTGTTAGAACAATGTGTACCACACCATAATGAACTAAGGATTGCTCAATTGTAGGGCCTTTTTTCCCACAACAGTAACATTTATGGTTTTTTGAAGTAAAAAAAATTAAAGACTAACACAATTATAGACAAAATATTCAAGGACCAATATAATGCATTCAAATTTGAGTACTGTATTCCCTTCAAAACTAAATTTTGCTGGCAGAACACTAATACTACAACATTATGAGTCAGGAATTTCTAAAATATATCCCCTTTTGGCCCTTTGCCCTTCTTATATTAGTTACTAAGGTATATATTTTTCATTGTTTTATATTGCCTAAAGAAGTAAAGAAAAAACAAGTGTAACAAATTACAGCCAAATGTTCAGACATTTGCCATGAAACTTCCCTTATGCAAAACAAAACAAAGAATTGTTAAATTTTAAGAACTGGAAAATATCTTTGAGATCATTAAATTTTTGCTAGGCTATCCCTATAAGTATTATTTTAAAGATGTGCCTCATATTTTCCAGGTTGACAGATTGAGATAGGCAACAGTATGCTTGATGATGGCTGTTGCCCACATAACTTGTACAATTGTATTAAGAAAAAATGCACAGATGCTGGAGAACAGACGGAGGTCTCTGATGAACCAGCCAGGGGAGACCAAATGATAAGCTCTTGGTTTTGTTCTATATGTACCACTTTCTAGATATCCATCAGAACTTCCTCAAGTTCCTCTCAGAATTAATATCACCTTTCTTTAAATGAGCCAATGAATATGCAGTGTTATGCGTAAATGTTGGCAAATAGTAGACATTCTACAAATGTTTATATCTGACACTATTGCATGGTGTACACTTAATAAACCTCTTAGGACATTCTGCTTGGTGTTAGCATTGGTAGAAGATTTGTCTCTGCTAGGAAATTGTCAACTTGTTCAGGCTGGGACTTGATTTTGTTTTCACACAACTCCTCCATTCTACACTGTTATGTCTCATATTCAGGCTGTCTTGCATAGATGCTTTTTTCTCCTCCACTAGATTATGAGTTCCAGGAGAACTAAACTGTGTCATCTTTATGTTCCTCACTGTACCTAACACTGCTTGGTACATAATGAGTCCTTAAAAACTGTGTTGAATTTGAATGTTATCTCCTCTGGGTAATTTTATTTTCAAAACATTCACTTTTGAATAGGACTTGTTTTATCACAGCAATTTATTTTGCAGATGAAGGAAGCTGAATGAAACTAGAAGACATAAAAAACTTTAAAATCCTGCTTCAAACTTCATTAGAGATTTAATAGGATCAGTACAGTACAGTAGAATGTACACATGTCATTTGATACTTAGTCATTTTCAGATTCTGTTTGCTCTGAGAAAGTCACACCCTACCTCATTGGGCTTTTAAAAAAATCGTATGTTATTGTGATAAGAACACTTAACATGAGAGCTTCCATATTAACATATTTAAAAATATACAATACATAGTGTGGACTATCAGTACAATGTTAGCAGATTGCTAGAGCTTATCCATCTTGCTTATCTGAAGCTTTATGCCTATTGATTAGTAATTCACCATTTCCTCCTTTCTTGGGGGCTTTTTAAAATATGAGACAAAGAAGCCTTAAATACCATATATAGTAAACAAAACAAAACAAAACAAAAAACCCCCACAGGTTCTTTGTAGTGATCAACTTAAATTTACTTACAAGAGAAAGGAACAGCTAGGAAGCTAAGCCAGACATTTCAATCAGTCAAATAACTGAGCTTTTTGAATTCTCAAAGAGAAATGTTTATTCATTTAATTGGTTTGCATATGGCTGATATCTGAAGCAGGAAACTTAACAGACAAAGGTGAAAGGAGAGTGGAAAAAGTTTTAAAAATTACGTGTTTCCTATTCTGTGACCCTCATTCCTAAAGAGTACCAATATTGAGTTCTAGAAAGATTTAAAAAATTGCCCACTTGTTACATAAAATAGGCTCACATATATACAGTATGTTTTTCTTAAGAAAGTTGGAACATGTGTTTTCAACAGACTCAATCTGCAGCACTCAATTTCTACAGTGGCTCAATCAAGGCTGTCTTAATTTCACTTCAGAGTTTAGCATTGATTTGTTTGATTATTCTATGAAGATAATAATTTGACATCATTGGAATGATAAAAATTATCCCATGAAGTTAGAAAGGATTGGGACTGAAACTGAAACAGGAGAGTTCCCTGACCTCCCTCTCAGGATGTCAGGGGTATGGCTCATTTGTTTGGCCACTGTGCACTAAAACCTCTTACTGGAGGAGAAGCACTTAGGCTGGTAGGTGCAGGAGCCAGGGCAAGTGCTTTTGGGCTCCAGCCACACAGTAACATCTAAGGGCGGGTGTCCGTGACTCCTGAAGCCCCAATGAGTACAGTGCTTTTTTCACTCTGCCTTCTACAGATGGCTTAAGTTTTAACCAGCTCCGTGCTCTTTTGGTACCTTGGTCCTTGTTTGGTGTCCAGGAAGAATCAGGTCATATGGACAAATTAAAGGATGGTAAATGCAGGAGATTGTATTGCCAGATGGAGGTGACTCTCAACAAGAAGGATGGAGAGCTGGAAAGGGGTGGAGTGGAAAGACGATCATTTTCTGGCATCCTGCTGCTGATCTCCTCTCTGACTATCCCCAGCTGAACTCTTGACGTTCAGATGCTTCTTCTCCTCTCTCCTCTGCCACATCACTCTTCTGCTCCTCTGCTCTTTTGCTCATACAGCCTGGGGTTTGGGGTTTATATGGGTACAGGCTATGGGAGTGTGGTGGGCCAAAAGGCAATATTTGGTGTGAAAACAGGAATACCTATTCTTATTTAGGGGTGTGGGTTTCCAGGCTTGAGGGAGAAGCCTTTGCCAGGGGAACTGCCCTCTTCTATCCAGTATTTCCTTGCCTCCTGCCTGTATCAAAACCTTGTCATTCATTGTCTCTGTAATCCAAAAATTAGCTAGTTTTCCAAAGATCAGAAAAGACCCAGCATAGAACACCCTCAGCAACTGATTCATTTAATCTCATATTGGAGATTTTTAGTGTTTGAATGTAACCAAAATACAAGTTAGTTACTCACTGCATGTAGAGTCCAACGAACAAGGCAGAGATCTGATGCAAAAAAAAGTGAATTTATTCTGAAGCTAACATGGGGGAAGGGGCACAAAGTATCCTGCCTTTAAGTGTGCCACTTCATCTTTGGAGCAGAAAGTGAATATTTTTATAAGGTAAGAGGAGTAATTGAGCCAGGGCAGGGGATCTGTCTGCTAGCTTGGTGACTTATCTACTGAACAGTTGAGTTGACACCTTCCTGGGAAGAAATAATTTGTAAAACTGACCAAGTGGGCATGCTTTTGATATGCCCTCCTGGTGAATGAAAGTCCCAAGGCA